ACCTCTGCAACTTTCCTTGCCTCCCTCACCGCATTGGGCTGCACCTTCCTGCTTTCTCATTTTATTTAAGCCTTTAGGAGTATTTTATGAACGCTCAACAGATTAATCAGCTGATTGCCCAATATCCAATTGTTAAAGACCTTATCGCACTCAAAGAAGTGGCGTGGTTTAATCCCAATTTTACCTCACTGGTAGAAGGGCTGCCCTATGTCGGGTTAGACCAAAAAGATATTGATGATGCCAGTGCACGTTTGACACGCTTTGCACCCTATTTGATGAAAGCCTTTCCAGAAACAGCGGCATCTCAAGGTATTATAGAATCCGAACTGGCAGCGATTCCTCAAATGCAGCAACAGTTGGAACAGTATTTTGGACAATCGATCCATGGTCAATTATGGCTTAAAAAAGACAGCCATCTTCCAATATCGGGTTCAATTAAAGCGCGTGGTGGTATCTATGAAGTGCTTTGTCATGCTGAAAAACTTGCGATTCAAGCACAACGCCTAAACATTGAGGATGATTATGCAAAACTGGATAGTCCAGAGTTTAAACAGTTTTTTAGTCAATACAGTATTGCGGTCGGTTCTACAGGCAATTTAGGCCTTTCTATTGGCATTATGAGTGCAAAATTAGGCTTTGATGTGACTGTGCATATGTCAGCAGATGCACGTCAATGGAAAAAAGATAAGTTACGTGCGCACAATGTCACAGTAGTTGAATATGCTGAAGATTATGGTGTTGCCGTAGAACAAGGCAGAAAGGCAGCATTAGAAAATCCAAACTGCTTTTTTATCGATGATGAAAACTCACAAACCTTATTCTTAGGTTATGCAGTTGCTGGGCAGCGTTTAAAACAACAATTAGAACAAAAAAATATTTTGGTTGATCAACAACATCCTTTATTTGTTTATTTACCTTGTGGTGTTGGCGGAGGCCCCGGTGGCGTTGCATTTGGCTTAAAAATGGCCTTTGGTGATCATGTACATTGTATTTTTGCCGAGCCGACCCATTCACCTTGTATGTTACTCGGTGTTGCAACAGGTTTACACGATGAAATTTCAGTTCAAGATCTGGGTATAGACAATATCACCGCTGCTGATGGCCTCGCTGTTGGGCGAGCATCTGGCTTTGTTGGTCGAGCCATGCAAAGGTTATTAGACGGTTTTTATACATTAACTGATGAAACCATGTATGTACTTTTGGGCATGCTCAATGATGCAGAACAGCTTAAATTAGAACCTTCTGCGTTGGCGGGTATGCTTGGACCAATTTTGACCAATCAACATCAAGACTATGCCGCGCTACATCACTTTAGCCAACAGCAATTGGAAAATGCTAATCATATTGTCTGGGGGACTGGAGGAGGAATGGTTCCAGATGAAGAAATGGAAAAATATTTAACCCAAGCGAAAGCCTATAAAAAATAATTTGTATAGCCTTGATTCTCACAGACTTTGATCTCATCAGAATTTGGGGCGGTAGCAGATAAATAAAGTGATTATCTTCTATCGCCCCAAATTAAATCCTTGAGTCAGGATTTTCCATCTGGAATTAAACGATCCCACCATTGACTCGAAGGACTTGGGCATTGACCCAATTACTCGCTTCATTTACGGCGAAATCCAACACTGCGGCAATATCTTCTACAGTGCCTAAACGCTCTAAAGGTGCAGCTTTGCTTAACTGAGCAATCAATTCATCACTTTTGCCTTCAAGAAAAAGTTCAGTTGCCGTAGGCCCAGGTGCAATGGCATTTACCGTGATATTTTTTCCTCTTAACTCTTTGGCTAAAATAGCCGTTAAGGATTCAATAGCAGCTTTTGATGCAGTATAAACACCATAAGTTTCGAGCTTCATACCCACCACACTGCTGGATAAATTAATAATTTTACCGCCCTTTTGCAGTCGCTTAGCAGCTTCACGCATGGTATATAAAGGGCCTTTAATATTAATTGCTAAAACTTGATCAATACTTTCATCGTCTAATTGTTCAATCTTACTTAATTTCAAAATCCCTGCATTGTTGATCAGCACGTCCAATCGACCATAGGTTTGAATTGCATAATCAAATAATGCAGTCACTTCATTGGAATGGCTGATGTTGGCTTTAAATAGACTCGCTGTTCCACCTAACGCTTGAATACTACTCAAAACATGCTCCGCCTCTTTATCGTTACTGGCATAATTGATAATGATTTTATGGCCTTGCTGTGCCAATAAGCTGGCAGTAAATGCACCAATTCCGCGAGAAGCGCCTGTAATTAAAATCACGTTTTCTTGCTGTGTATGACCTGTTGTATGCATCGTGATGACCTCATGGAATAAAATATACCTCTAATCGCTTCTATGATACTGTTCAGATAAAACCAGATAATCTAGTTAAACCTGACATCTTTATCCGAATAAATCGAACAATTGGAATGGCGTATGGATAAACTCAATGCAATGTCTGCTTTCGTCAATGTGGTTGAACAACAAAGTTTTACCAAAGCTGCGCAGATCTTAAATCTGCCACGCTCAACCCTGACCGATGCAATTAAACAATTAGAATTCCAACTCAATACGCGCTTATTGTTGCGTACCACTCGTCAGGTAAAAGCAACCGATGAAGGCCATATTTATTATGAGCGCTGCAAATATATCTTGGGTTATATCAATGAGTCTGATCATGATTTTCTTGATGCAAAACCTCAAGGGCCTTTAAAAATCGCAGTTCATGGTATTTTTGCTACGCATTTTATTCTGCCAAAATTAGATGATTTTTTAACTGAGTTTCCACAGATACAGTTGCAACTCACCGAAAGCGACCGTTATGTAGATCTGATAAAAGAAGGCATTGATTGTGTGATTCGTATAGGTCAGCTCAATAATAGTGAGTTAATTGTCAGGCATCTGGGCGATATTCAACAAGTGACATTAGCCAGTCCAAAATACTTAGAAAAATATGGCACACCACAACGCTTAGACGATCTGCAATCACATTTTATGGTCGGATTTTATTCTTCTGCTCGACAAAAGCCACTGCCGCTTGAGTTTCTGACAGGCAAGAAAACACAGTTTTTTGAGTTGCCGTTAAAGATTCAAGTCAATGGTGCAAATACCTATGCAGCAGCAGCCAAACAGCATTTTGGGATCATCCAAGCACCGCGTTATGGTTATTTATCTGAGCTAGAGCAAGGCACACTTTGTCAAATTTTAACTGACTATCCTGTTCCATCCCTGCCTGTTTCTTTACTTTATCCATCAAAAACACTGGTTTCACCACGACAAAAAGTTTTTATCGAATGGATTGTACGATTGTTTCAGGATAATCGATTGCTTTGAAGTTTGAATCACGCTGCTTGGGATGGATATGATTAACTAGCGCTCTCTCGCATTAATCCCCATAGCATTTATACACCAACACTCAATTCCTGACTCCAAGTTGAATCAGGTTGTTGATAAAGATGCCAACACATATTTTTAACCGAATCCATCAAGGCAACATTCTGACTATCCCAACTTTCCAACATACAATAGGTAATATGGATGCCTTTAGGATGAAACTCTCTTGCCAAAGATTGTGCCAATGCCCGAATACTGGCAAACATACTCTGAGTTAAGCCATTGTTTTCAGCGATCAGGTTGGGCTGTGTTCCTAGAAAGATCAAAGTTCCTTGTGACTTTATCAGCATCTGTCGAATGATCGCTTGGGAAATATTTACCGCAGCCAAACCAGTATTTTGCCAAAGCTGTTCGATCTGTTGGACTGAAGCATCGGAATTCGACAATGATTTTGAAAAATCAGCTTGGAAAATACACAGTTCAATTGAATGCCCTGTTCGTTGAATATAGCCAACTAAATTTTTTAAAGCAGTCGGATTGATCAGATTCAAACGAACCCGCTTTAGACCTAAATCTTGTTGCTCAATCTTTAGATTAGTTTGCGTAGGATCATGCTGAACTTGATATACAGGCATTGTGCTGTTGTGTGCTTGATCCACAAAAAGCTGGCTGAGCGAGTGAGTTTCATTGCCAATTACAACGATACAGCCCTGTAGTTTGGATTTTTTTCTCAGCAATGGAGGAATTAAATTGTACATATTAGAATTTCTCCTGATAAGGACGTAAATCCAGCTCATGGGTCCATAAATCACGCTTTTGTTGATAAAGCATCCAATAATTTTCAGCAATCGCTTGGATATTTAAACCACCTGTGCCTCGTGTAAGTCTCAGTAAGCGTCCTAAACCAAATACCGCCTTATTGACACGATCACCATCGACCATGCCATCAACAATAATATGTGCAACATGGATGTTTTGAGGCTTATACATCTGGGCGAGATGCATCGCATAATTACGTAATGCGGATTTGCCCATGGTAAATGCCGCAAAAAAAGGTTTACCACGAAGAGATGCACTTGCCCCGGTAAAAATCAGTGTGCCATATTGCTGTTGTTCAAAGATTTTTAAGGCTTGTTGCGACACTAAAAAAGCCGATAAAAAAGTAGAACGCCACATTTGAGTAAAAAACTGAAGAGAGGTCTTTAAAAAAATTGAGGGAATATTGCCCCCCACATTATGAATAACAGCGACGAGATGCTCCTTTTGCGCATTCCTCTCCGCAAAAAAAGCCTGTACTTGTTGTTCATTTTCAGCATCCAAAGCATGTGCTACGGCATGTCCACCCTGCGCATTGATCGAATCAGCCACGGCTTGCACTTTCGCTAAAGTACGCCCCACAACATGTACTTTTAATTTTTCTTGAGCAAAACGACGACAAACTGCTGCTCCAATTCCTTGTTCAGCACCTACGCCCATAACAACCACACATGGAAGTGTTGCTATATTTTGAGATGTTGCATTCTGCGTATTCATAGCAAGTCTAACCATTGAGCAATAGAAGGATAAGCTTTAATTTTAGCGCCCCAAATTTTACTGGTGCGGACAATCTCTAAAAGCTGCGAACCTACTGCAATATCAGCCAGTGTTTTAACCTCGCCAACCAGCCATCCTGTTTGCGCCAACACCAATTCGATACGCTCTAAATGACGAGTAAATTCCGCTTCAATATCCTGCTTAGCCATACGACCTGTACCTTGCATTTTAAGTTGCAGGTTTAATGTTGCTTTGAGCAAGGGTTTTAACAGATATATTTCATGTTTGGGGCGACCTTTTGCACTCATTTCAACCGCATGATCTAAGGCATCAGCATCACTGACACGAAAGTGCACCTCATAGAAATATAACAACTCGTCTGACCAATCTTCCCAAAGCTCAACATAGGCCTTTTGTAAAGGATCTTCAGGATATAAACGTGGTAAGTCTGGGTAAGCATCATCAAGATAACGTGCAATACGAGTACTGTCCTGAATACGTTGACCATCAATATCTAGAACAGGAACCTTGCCTGCTTTACTGAGCATTGGCACTTTTGCACCCAGTACACCGTTATAATCCACAGTCTTATAAGCGATCCCTTTAAATTGCAACATTCTGGCAACTTTTTGGCAAAAAGGAGAGATTTCCCATTGATGTAATACAACTGAATTCATTTTATATTCTCAGCTTAACTTTGGGTCGATTGACATTCGATGAGCTACATCACAGGATCAGCACTTAATACTTCAAAGCTCTGATTTAAAGCCCTGATCCAAAAATTCTAGTCCAAAACCATAATGCAGAAATAGAATCTTTCAACGACGGATGATCATATTGGTTGCTGTTGCATGTGCATACAATTTTCCTTCTTCATCTCGAAGATAGCCTTCTGAAATGACTAAGTTTTTCCCTACGTTGATGACTTTACCTTCAGCAATTAACTTTTTATTAAACGGCATCGGACGGCACATTTTTATCGCAAGATCAGTGGTTCCATAGCCCTCACCTGCAGCCAAGACGGTATGTGTGGCACAACCTGTCACTGAATCCAATATCGTTGCGGCAAAACCACCATGTACTCCACCCAATGGATTGCTATGACGTTCATCCGCAATGGCCATAAATACAATGCGACCATATTCAACGTCTCCGACTTCCTCCATCCCCATGGTTTTTGCAATACCAGGCGCTGGCACCAGTCCTTTTTGGAATGCTTGCATAATTTCTAGGCCAGTCATATTGAGTGGATTCATCACTATTTCCTATTTTGATAAATAAAATATTTATTGGATAAAGCTTGATTGCTCAGGGGATAAACCAATTTTTACTTTAGTTTGCGCGACAATTTCGGATTCATCAGTATCATTCGGATGAAAATCAAACTGATAATAAGAGAAAAATTGTGGTACCAGCTTACGATAGGCTTGCACTGTAAACCCAGCAAACTTAGTCCAAGACTTAAGGTTTAATAATTGTTTGTCTCTCGACATCAACACCACTTGATATACATTAGAAAATAGTGTGATCAGCACAAGACTAAATGTAAAAATCGCCACGCGAGGAATGTAGGCATCTAAGCCCTTGCCATATAAGTATTCATACATGTCATAAGCCACAGCCTTATGTTCGGTTTCTTCAACGCTGTGCCATAACCATAAATTACGAATAGTAGTATCAGTCATTAATTCATTGACATTTTTCATCATCTCCACCACCAACACGGCGGTGTAATGTTCCAGACCCACAGTCACCAAGAGATTCCATTTTTTAGGAAAAGTACGTTCTACCGCTTTTAATATGATCCCTGTGACTTTTTCTAAGGATTCAGGATCTAAACCATATCGCTGTGCACTGACATGAAAAGCATGATGTTCTTTAGAGTGCATGGCTTCTTGCCCAATAAAGGCACCAATATCACGATCTAATTGTGGGTTGTTTTTAATTTTTCCACGTAAAGCGCGCACTGAACGGACAAAGTACGATTCACCTTCAGGAAAAAGTGTCGATAGACCTGTGAAGTAATGGGTAAAGGTTGGTTCATTATTACACCAATACTTGGGCATATCCTGAAATTGATAATCCATGCGACGTACTGGAAATGATGCAGGTGTTTTTTGCTTTGATTTTTCTTTCACCATTGATATAGACATGGTTCACCTCGAGAATTTATCTTAAAATAACAAGTTCCAAAAAAGAACTCGATGAGTTAAAATAATGATCCATGCTGATCTTGTCAATGGTCTGAATACGCTAAAGCTTCAGGTTGTCCTTAAATGACAGTATCATTCCTATAAAGACAAACTGTAAAGACAAAAGATAAAACCAAGCTGTCAAAATAACATGATGATGAAATAATAAAGTAATAAGTTAAGGGCTGAACACCTTGAAATGAATGATTTAATTGCATGAATTTCACCTATTTCAAACAATCTTAGAACTTTACTGATGATCCAAAATGTATGTACATAATCAGCTTTTTCAGTACTTTCATTCGCATATAAATAATTCTTCCTATTTGTGTTTTGAGAAGACAGATGAACAAAAACATCCCTCTTACTTTAAAAAGTTGTTTGATCAGTTTAGTACTTCTTAGCATAGTCGGTTGTGGGACTAGCGCTGATTCCTCAAATAATCAATCTGAAATCAATCAACAGAAACAGACTCCCTCATCATCAAATCAGCATAAAAAGCATGCGGCTAAAGATCAAACAGGAAAATTTATTGCGATTTACCAACCCGCTAGAAATGCCCAAACCAAGATCGAAGAAAAATTCTGGCGCTCGAATTATTTATTAGAAGACTTTGCGGAATATATGAACAGCTATATCAATATACCGCAGGATATCAAGGTGATTGCCAAAGAATGTGGTGAAGTGAATGCATTCTATGATGCTGATACTTCCACAATAGAGATGTGTTATGAATTAGGTGAAGAACAAAGAGAGCTATTTTCTCAAGCAGGTGCTAAAGGTACCGAACTTGAAGATGAGCTGTTTCAAAGCGCACTTGGTACTTTGTATCATGAGGCAGGCCATGCCTTGATAGATACACTTGCATTGGATATCCCCTATAAATTCGAAGAGGATTATGCTGATCAAGTCGCTGCTTATATCCTAACAACTTATGATGAAGATAAAGATTATTTAATTTCTATTTCAGACTCTTATGGGCTAGAGCAACAAGGGCCAGCCGTTTCAAGAAAACTTACACCAGAGGGGCACTCACCTGAATGGGTAAGAGCAGAAAATTTCTTATGTTATGTTTATGGGTCTGACTCGCAAAAATATGCGTATCTGGTCAAAGAAAAATACTTACCCAAAAGCAGAGCACTTGGCTGTAAAACTGAATATTCAGCATTGGTTCAAAGATGGGATGCTTTGCTTAAAAAACATTTAAAATAAACGGCCGTCAATAAATGCAGGAACCATTCATTCCTGCAATATCCTGCATGCTCAGCTATAAATTTAAATGCTGTTCTGACTCTTCGCATTTTCACACGTTGCCTGATCATTCATCCTATAAAAATATGACTAATAAAATTAATCTTTTAAAAGCAAAATGCTTAGGGTCTGTTGATATTTCATAAATGGCTTGCGTTGTAGGTTAAAATTGAGCAGGCAAGGCATGAAACGAAGAGAATAGCGAGACTATTTTCGAGTTTCATAACGCAGACTGAGATAATTTTAGCCACAACCCTTCGGGACTAGCGTGTTTTTTGCCACTACGTCGTTACCTTGCGAAACGATGTTTCTCATCATTTAGAATGACTAAATTTCGTATTTCGCGCCTAGTATCGCCTAAAAAACACACGTATTCGCAAACTTAGACGAATTGTCAACAGACCCTAGTTGATATCTTAGATCTCAGCAACAATTCAAATTAAAGTTAAACGTCACACCTAATCTCTCCATCAAAACCGCTTAAATTCTCTCCAGTTTTATTTTCTATTTTTATCTGGATTTTTGTCTCGATTTCTAGCGCTATTGCCATGTCAATGATTTGTCATAAAGGTGACACCTTGCTGTCACAAGCGCTGTCTAATGTGTGGGCATCTTTATTATGGACGAAGCACATGTTAAAAAAACCGAAACGATGGTTATCGTACATTTATATTTTCCCCATTTTACTGGCACTCACCGCTTGTAATGATTCAAATGATGATCAGGCCACTACACAGCCTGATGGATCTAAAAAACCATTAATGCGTTGTGCACCATAAACATAAAAATACCAAAGGGAAATATTGTGATTAATCGTCGTCAATTTTTAGCAAATACACTTAAAACAAGTTTTGGTGCTGCTGCCTTATCTACATTTCCAGCCAGCATTCAAAAGGCATTGGCTATTCCTGCAAATAATAAAACAGGAACCATTCAGGATGTCGAACATGTGGTTATCCTGATGCAGGAAAACCGCTCATTTGACCATTATTTTGGTACATTAAAAGGCGTTCGTGGTTTTGCCGACCGCTTAACCATTCCTTTGCAAAATGATCGTACTGTATGGCAACAACAACGAAGTAACGGTGCCTTATTAACACCTTTTCATTTAGATGGATCGAGTAATAATGCACAACGTGCACCCGGTACAAACCATACTTGGGTGGATAGCCAAAAAGCTTGGGACAATGGCCGTATGTCAAACTGGCCCACCTATAAAACTGATTATGCGATGGGTTATTTTAAAGAGCAGGAAATCCCTTATCAGTTTGCTTTAGCCAATGCTTTTACCATTTGCGATGCATATCACTGTTCAATGCACACAGGTACAGATGCCAATCGTTCATTTCATTTAACGGGCACCAATGGCGCAGTACCGACCAGTACCGCATTTGTGAATAATGAATGGGACTGGATTGATGGTGATCCCCAAAACGTTGATGTCGGCTACACATGGAAAACCTATGCTGAACGTTTAGAAGAAGCAGGTGTTAACTGGATTTGCTATCAAAACATGCCGGATGAATGGGGCGATAACATGCTCGGTGCATTCCGTACCTTTAAAAAAGCCAATATTGCTTCAGGCTATCCAGTTTCAAGTGGTGGTGCGCCGAATAGTCCATACAATAAAGCAGCGCAACCATTGCCTTATAAAGCTTATGATGCCACAACCGATAATGCTAAAAATCCACTGTATAAAGGTATCGCAAACACCCTGCCCGGCAATAAACCCGAAGAGTTTTTAGATGCTTTTAAAAATGATATCAAAACAGGCAAACTCCCCCAAGTGTCTTGGATCAATGCACCTTCTATCTATTGTGAACATCCAGGTCCATCAAGCCCAGTACAAGGTTCTTGGTTTATTCAAGAAATCTTAGATGCTTTAACAGCAGTGCCAGAGGTTTGGAGTAAAACCGTTTTCTTGATCAATTTTGATGAAAATGATGGTTATTTTGATCATGTTCCCTCTCCATCTGCACCAACCTTACAAGCAGACAATACTTATGCGGGTAAATCTACACTCAGCCAAGCTGATATGCAGCATGAATATTATCTACATGACGCACCACTAGGCAGCAGCAGCCAGCCTAAAAAAGACAATGGTGTTTATGGACCGGGCCCACGTGTACCACTCTTTGTAATTTCACCGTGGAGTCGTGGGGGTGTGGTTAACTCTCAAGTGTTTGATCATACGTCTGTATTAATGTTTTTAGAACAACGCTTTGGGGTAAAAGAAACAAATATCAGCCCTTATCGTCGTGCGATTTGTGGTGATTTAACCTCAGCATTTAACTTTAAAACCCCAAATGAAGATGTATTGCCAGAATTAAATGGTAAACAAACCCGTGAGCAAGCAGATCAACTTCGTTCAGCTCAGCAAAAGTTGCCCAATGTTCCGATTCCAACCAATTTACAACTTCCAATTCAAGCCAGTGGTATTCGCCCATCTAAAGCATTGCCTTATGAATTACATACCAGTGCACGTTGTCAAAATGATGGAACAGTTAAACTCTTGTTCTCGAATACAGGGACTCAAGGCGCAGTTTTTCATGTCTATGATAAGTTAAATCTCAGCCGTGTCCCACGTCGTTACATTGTAGAAGCGGGTAAAACACTGGATGATGTTTGGAATGTGAAAAAGGATAATCAAGGCTTATACGATCTTTGGGTAATGGGACCAAATGGTTTTCATCGCCATTTCAAAGGTGATTTGAATCGTAATCAAAGCCTGCAAATCAATCCTGAAATTCGAGTGTGTTATGATATTGCCAATGGTAATGTTTATTTAGACCTGACCAACATGGGCACAAAAGATGTTGAATTGGTCATTAGCCCAGTCGTCTATCGTAGTGATGCAGCGTTAAAAATCACTGTAAAAGCAGGTCAAACATCAACGCGACATTGGGAACTGAAAGATACATGGCAATGGTATGATTTTGCCGTAACTTGCACTCAGGACACTAAGTTTTATCGACGCTTTGCAGGACGCGTTGAAACAGGTGCAGATTCTGTCAGTGATCCAGCGATGGTTTAATATTTAAAGAATTTTGAATATTCAAGTTTTTAGATTATTAACAATGAATCAAATTTAACAGCATCCCAGCTTTATTTAAAACTGGGGTGCTTTTTTATAGTGCTTGCTTAGGAACACGTCACTCCTTCCATCACCACAGCTTTATTGGCTTCTGTCGCAACAACAGAAGCGGCAATCGCTTCGATAACCTTACTCAATGACTGTCGTGAAACACTGACTATATCAACAATTTTATTGCCATCTGCACCAACTGCATCGGTAAATGCCATTCGACAACTGAGTTGTCGGTTAGGCAACACTGCATTCTGTGTAGCTGTTGGCTGATTTAAGGGTCTGGCTGGATCATCTCGTTTAATAATCCAAGCAACTGCCACCTCAATATCCCGATTCATCGAACCCATTAACGAACGTGTGTTGGAGTGTTCGATAATATCAAAGCGAGAAAAGTCGGTTGCAATACGGTAAGAGACTTTACCACCCGTCATACCACTGCTGTAACGATCGACAGCACCTAATTTCTGTTGCAAACCCGCAGACAAACCATCACGTAACTCTGCCCCCAACGTGGACGTCCAGCGTTCATTATCCAATACATTAGATTTACCACTGCTGTCCTGTAAGACTAAGGGGGCCCTGTTTAAACGGTCGGGTAATCCCACTGGCAGTACTTCAATCACCCGTACATTTGAACTCACCAACGGTTTAACCGTTGGCGTCAAGCTATAGTAGTTTGGTGTAGGCGAACTGGAACAGCCCGTTAAACCCACAACGGCCAATAACAGAGCACAACCTGCTCGACTAGACTGCGGCAAATAGGACAGAAAATGTGAGCTATTTTTTTTATTTAGCATTCTTAACCTCAGGCGTTTTCCCACGAATGAGTGATTCTGGGTGTTGTTCAATATAGTCAGCCATTAGCTGTAAAGATGCGGCAGCACGTGTCATTTGCTGTAAAGCACGGCGTACATCCTGTTGCATTGGCGCATCACTGGATAGAATGGTTTCAGTAGAGCGCATGGTTTTACGTACATCATCCAAAGTCGCCTGTAGTCCTGGCGCAACTTTGCCATCCAACTGTTTCACCAATTTATCTGTAGAGCTAATCGCTGAATTCATATTATTGAGGGTTTTACGTACATCCTGTCCAATTTCCACCAATGGGAATTTATTCAGTTTATCCGCAATTTGCGATACTTGTGCTTGTAATCCCTTCAACTCGGTTGGTGTGGTTGGAACCTCAATCACACCATTTGATCTGATGATTAAGTTTGCTGGTTTTGCTTTAGGGAATAGATCAAAGGCGATATAGTTCTGCCCTGTCAGTAGATTTCCGGTGCGCATCTGAGCACGCCAGCCTCTTTCGATAAAGCGTTTAAAAATAACACCATCAGGATCAAGTTCTTTGCCATTGGCTAAACGAGATGGATAAATGACCCCCTCAGCCCGCATCCGAATCTGAGTATAATTTGCATCAAACTCCGCATTAATCGACTGAATATTACCAATTTCAATCCCCATAAAGTCAATCGGTGCACCTGCCGACAAGCCACGTAAAGACTGATCAAAATACATGATGATACGGTGTGGATTGCCATCTGGCTCTTTCAAAGCTTCAGTACGAGAATCCCATAAATTAAAACGACTTTGATCCGAAGCAACAGCAGCATGTGAATTCTCAGGATAACCGAAAGCAATCCCGCCAGCGATAATACTCACCAGAGACTGGGTATCTAGCTTAAATCCTGATGCACTTACGCTGACATCGACACCACTGGCCTGCCAAAAACGCGCATCTGTGGTCACAAACTTATCATAAGGTGCTTGAATAAAGGTCTGTAACTCAACACTCTTACCATCTTTGGCCAACTGATAAGCCGTGATTTGACCCACATTGATCTGACGATAATAAATAGGAGAACCGATATCCAGTGAGCCTAGGTTATTGGCTTTGAGGAAAAAGATTTTACCCGGTACATCTGATGAGATGACTGGAGGAACTTCTAAGCCAGTGAACTCATCCTGTTTTTGTTCTGCCTTACCGCCATCAACCTCAATATAAGCACCCGACAATAAGGTATCAATTCCGGAGACACCACTGGCACCGATGCGGGGGCGAACCACCCAGAAGCGTGAGTCTTTTGCAGCAAAATTACTGGCATCCTTACGCAGTTCAATTTTGGCAATGACATGTGAATGATCATCGGCAAGATCAATTTGGCGAACAAGACCGATATCCACTTGTTTAAAACGAACAGTCGTCTTACCTGCAACCAGCCCTTCAGCCGTTCTAAAAGCAACATTAATGGTCGGGCCAGTATCTAATACCGCTTTGACTGCCAACGACAGACCTATCAACAAGGCAATAAACGGAATCAGCCAGATCAACGATGGTCGCCAGCGTCCTTTATTTTTCTCAGGTTCAGGCAAAATCTGCTGCGTTTCATCTACAGCATGAGGATCCTGATGATCTGAGCTTTGGTTATTGGTTTTATTTTCAGACATACACACCCATCATTGTTTTATTGACTGGAATTGGATAAATCATGATTCAAGGGAGGATGATCCACGTGAATCACATCTGAGCCTTGCAGGGAAAGCCCGTTCTTGTTGTGCGTATTCTGGGCAGCAGAATAATTATCCCAAATAATACGCGGGTCAAAACTCAGTGAAGCAAACATGGTTAAAACCACCACTGCACCAAAAGCAACCGCGCCCGGCCCAGCGAGAATAGTTGCCAGTGATTGAATCTGAATCAAGGCGGTCAATAAAGCCACCACAAAAACATCAATCATCGACCATCGACCGATAAACTCAACAATCCGATAAAGCATTGAGCAATGCTCAGGTGAAAAGTGCAATCGTTTAGAAGACTGCATTTTTACTGCAATCAACAGAAAACACAGAATTAAAAGTTTTAACATGGGAATAAAAATACTGGCCATAAAAATAACAGCAGAAACCAAATAATCCCCATTCTGCCAAAAATAGATCACACCACTCATGATCGTATCTTGCTGACTGCCTAACAAAGAATCTGTGACAGTCATCGGAAGTACATTGGCTGGAATATATAAAATACTCGCCGCAATCACCAAAGCAAGGGTTCTGTCTAAGCTCTTTGGTTTACGTTGATGCAGCACACTATGACATTTCAAGCAATGTGAAGCATGTTTTGTTTCAGCCTCTGGAAGCTGTTTATTGAGCGCTCCACAGCAATGACAAAGCACCAAAGACAAATCTTTGGCTCTTGGATATGGTTGCGAATTTTTATTGTCTGTATTCGCTGAGTATTTTGAAAAATTAGCCTGAGACTGTTCAGTTTTCATGAGAGTCTCCTGTCGATCTCATTCCAAAGATCTTTGACTTTTACTGAGGCAATATAAACCAGCAATACACTCAGTATGGAGAATCCCCATAATGCAACGCCTGGAATCACCACAACCATACCGACCAGTTTAACCAAGGTGACCAATACCCCAATCAAAAATACCTCAACCATTCCCCATGTTCTAAATAAAAACAAGGTACGGAATGCTGCAACTAAATAACGAGGCCGAACTTTAAAAAAATGAACTGATGAAAGGACATAGAACAGCAGCAATAAATCCAATAGAGGCACCACGAAAGTCGTGATAAGAATCAACACACCTACGGGCCCTTGCCCTGCATGAAACATTGCCCATGCCGCACCCAGTAGTGTTGTCTGGGAATCATTACCCTGCAATTCCACCTTAACAATCGGGAAACTATTGGCAATCACAAATACGATCAGTGCTGTTGTTACCATTGCCAGTAAGACACTAAACGGCTTGCTTTGCCGATAAAGCTCAGCACCACAACAGAGACAATAAGCACGCTCACCTTGAGTCAGCTGAATTCGATGATAGAGCGTGTCACATTCCTCACAGGCAACCAGTGTTTGCGGTTCAATATCACCATTTTGAATCAATGCTTGCTGATTCAAGGGCACAGAAACTGGCGGAAAGGAGGACGGCTCACGCATAGAACATCAACACCATTTTATAAATTCTTTTTAGACCGAAGCTCATCTTGCTATATTTTACTGAGATGTATACAGATGAGTTGTGATATTTTTTGATGATATCCTGTTGGTTTTATATAAACAATTGATCTGGCGAAATCTAGTCTAACAATTGACCATGCATTTTATCTATACGCAATAGCAAGCGCCTATTTTGACATGATTAAAGACACAGTCGTTGCACCAAAAAATCGATAAAGACACGAGTTTTTGCAGGTAATGTTCCCGTATTCGGATAGAGCAATTGAACATTTTGCACAGGTAAATCAAAATCAGCTAACACCCGAGTTAAACGATTTTGCTGAATATCTTCATCGACCAACCAAGCTGGCGATATCGCAACACCCAATGAAGCAAGTGTCATCTGGTGTATCGCTTCTGCCGAATTAGATTCATACTGACTTCTAACAAAAGGCAATGTATGTTTTTCACCTTGATCATTTTGTAAAACATATTGCGCATCCTGCCAATTCAATAAGCGATGACCAATCCAAGGAACATGTGCTAAATCAGCAATGCTATTGATTGGATAACGTTTTAAAAATTCAGGGCTGGCAACCAAATAAATCGGATATTCAGCAATTTTTCGTGTCCGCATGGATGAGTCTTTTAAGTTTCCCAACCGAATGACCAAATCTAATTTTTCAGTGACTAAATCATCTAAGGAAGAATTAAATGAATATTGTAGCTGTAATTGAGGATATTGGCGGCAAAACTCACCCAGCAAAGGTAAGATGAATTTCCGTCCAAATTCATTGGTCGATGAAAAACGCAATATCCCTGTGATACTTGTGGCTAAGTTTTGACTGCGCTCAAAAGCTTCTTCGATTTGCAATTGAATGTGTTTGAAATCCTCATAAAAGCTTTTGCCTATTTCAGTCAGTGCGATATTACGCGTATTACGAATCAGCAAACTCACATTTAAATGCTGTTCTAAATGCTTGATATCAATACTCACCATCGATCGACTTAACCCCAAAATCTCCGCTGCCTTGGTAAATGATCCTGAATCAACCACTTGCAAAAAACTGATAATCTGTTTTAGGTTTTTTTGCATAATCACACTGATTGTTTGAAATTATTAAACAATGATTTTACTTCGCATGCATCGACAATAAAAGGCCTGAATCGTACCCTCCTGCATCTTGGAGGTCGCTATGTCATATCGCTATAAAATAGCAACAGTGTTTTTACTTGGGTTCTTTATTGATTGCATCAATATTTTCATGTCTGCAATTGCCTTACCCGATATAGCAACAGCTTTCTCAGTCAGCCCATCGATGGTTGCATGGGTAAGCAATGCTTATATTTTGGGTTTGGTTTTAATCATGCCCATGAGCTTATGGTTAGCAAGCGTATTGGGTGATCGGAAATTGCTGTGTTATTCAATGCTGCTTTTTTCCGTCAGCGTTTGGTTGATTGGCATGAGTGAATCAATCCATAGTTTAATTTTTTGGAGATTTGTTCAGGGTGTGGCTGGCGGATTATTAATCCCTGTCGGTCAAGCATTGGTATTTGCACTGTTTCCAAACCATGAACGGCAACGTATCTCCACAATGATTATGGCAATTGCATTAATTGCACCAGCCTTTTCACCAACGATTGGCGGCATGATTATTGATGCTTTATCTTGGCGTTGGGTGTTTTTCGCCAATATCCCCTTTACCGTGATCACTGCTTTTTTAGCATGGCGATGGATCAAAGAAAATAAAGCTAAAACGTCCGGGAAACCTGACTTTTTAGGACTGTTTATGGTCAATGTCAGCCTGTTGTGTTTGTTACTCTCTTTCTCATTATTTAACGATTACCATAGTGTTGTACTCGCGATCAGTAGCTTTGTACTTTCCATCACAATGCTTCTGATTTATCTCAAATACGCGAAAGGATCTGCTCATCCGATTCTTAATTTGCAATTGTTAAAAAATTATAATTTACGCAATGCATTTATCGTTTATTACGCAGTACCCGGTATTTTTACTGGTGTGAATTTACTGAATATCTTTAATTTACAACGTAACCTTGGGTTTAATGCAAAACAGACTGGCTTATTTATGCTGCTCTATGCAGTAGGTGCATTGGTATCGATGACCAGTGGTGGACTTCTCTATCGCCATCTCGGTAAAAAGCAGCTTTTTATAATCGGTATTACGCTACATAGTTTAGGAATTTCACTGTTGTTCTGGGTCTCAAATGCCAATGATTTAAGTACCTTGATGGTTGCTTATCTACTGATGGGAATGGGTGGTGGTCTAAGTGCCAATACTGCCCAAATCAGTGCCCTCATCGATTTTAACGGCCAAGACTTATTACAAGGCAGTGTGCTGTGGAACATTAATCGACAAGTCGCTTTCAGTTTAGGTACAGTTGTCCTTATTTCAATCTTTAATCTGTTACCTGCTGCAAATGACTTAATACGTTATCAGCATACTTTTTTGCTTGCAGCACTGCTCTGCCTCTTATCATTAATTTCCATTTTTAAGGAGAAAACCCATGTCTAATCCTATGGACAATGCATTACAACATGTCATCGATTTACATATTTTGATTGAAAATGTATTTACTGGTCAAAATGCAAAAGAAAGCCTAAATCAACTCTTAGCCAGTTTTGATCCAAATTTTAAAATGATTACGACGCAAGGCAATGTCATTGGTTTACCCGAAATAAATGCCTTGTTTAGTCAAAATATAGGTAATAAACCTGCGTTAAAAATTAAAATCTTAAATACGCGTGCTTTATTTGAAGCAGACAACCACTGCTGGATTCAATATCAAGAACTTCAACAAAGCCATGAACCTGATACATTACGGATATCGACGGCTTGCATCAAAGTTGAATCAGGTCAATGTTATTGGGTTTATCTACATGAAACATTGGTCAATTTAGCCTCATCGAGTTAGATACTACATGCTCTAAAGACTGCTAATAAAATTCAGCAGTCTTATATTATTCATCGATCTACCTAGCTGAATTAAGTGGCTTTATCTTATAGTGATGTAAAGTCCCAATTATCCTCAGCATAAGAGAATAAAATAATGGAAAAAAATAGACACAATAAGCATTGGAAAAATCAACAAATACGACCTGATAAATTTTAACCTTAAATAAAAAAATCCCATGAATTAAAATGAGCTCATCACATTCATTGAGAAATCCACCAATAAACCCAGCTTCATATATTATTATATTGTGGAAAGTTTAAAATCGTTGGATTTATAAAGACCAAAAATGAATGCATTAGAACTGATAAAATTTCTGGGTCATAGCAGTGTCTATGCAGAATTTAACGACTTCTTGACTCAGCATGATGTAAACAACCGACCAAAAATCAGTCGCGCATTGGACACCATTATTGCAATCCAAGGACAAGGGCTTTCGATGTCTTTTGATATTGATGCCGAGGCAAGCGGAATCACACCCAAAAGTGAGGGAACATTTATATTTAGCCAACTTGAAATACGACTATTTGGCGATGAAAAGAAAAACGGCCTTTATTCTGGCCCACTCCCCTATGAGCTCAAAGCAAATGACAGTAGAGAAGCTATTGTAAAGAAGCTTGGCACACCAAAACGTAGAATGCCTGAAATTGATAATTACTATATAGATGGCGTTGTTTGGACAGTCGCTTTTGACGGAGATCATTTGGAGTTCTTGCAGCTGAGCATCCCCAGCAATGGGAAGCGAAAATATGGACTATGCCCTTAATCGCATTGCACTTAATCCATACTCTAATTTTATAACAAATAGATCTTCTCGCATTTCCTTAATGTTCATTGATTTATTTGATGATGGTTTATTAAAAATTCTTTTCATCACAATTTACTTAAACCCATGCTCTTCACCATTAGACTGAATTTTAAAACGGTTCTTTAAATCAAAGAACCGTTTCGAAATACAGAACCCTTAGAACTTAAAGCTATAATCTATATTTAAACGAGTTTCATTGGCTGAGTGAAAGACCATATTGGTTGGCATATCATTTCGGTAATGAGAAAAACGTGCTCGCATGCCTAAGCCTTTTAACTTCCCTTCTGGGATTTTATAAGCTAAATCTAGCTCCATCGATTCTTCTTTAAATCGTTTATCGCCATAACTAAGTAAATCAATATCTTGTCCTTTGGCATAGCGGGTCATAAAACGCAGTCCATTGAGAGAAGTATCAGCTAATTTTACATTTTTAAAATCATATTCATAACGCAGTGAATAGACTTTCTCGTCTTTATTGGAATAATCCGAGCTCATAAAATCAAGCACCACTGGACTTTCTGTGCCCGATAAAAATGGTAAGCCTGTCGAACCAAAGGCCTGCATATAACCCAAAGACAGGGTATGGTTTTGATAATTTAAGCCAAATAATCCACTTAAATGCTGATTATCTACATGACCGATTTTTTGTCTACCTGCCTCCTGACTATTGAAAAATCGTACATCGCTTAAAAAAGTTAACTGTTCATTTAAAGGCTGTTTACTATTGAAACCTAAAAATTGCTGTTGGTAGATATCGTGCAGTTCAGCCTGATAAGCACGGATTCGATATGCATCATTGAGTTGATAAGCGCCACCAAAACTATAGAAGTAATCTGTTGTTGCGGCTCGATCAAAACGGCGATTGATATTGTCCGTACCGACATCACTATAATGAATCGAATCACGCTGTCGCACTTGGTCTACATAAAAACCTTCCAATTGTAACTTTGGAATTTCATTGGAAACAAACCGAGCACCTCGATAAGTTTGAGGGAACAAACGCGCAGGTGAAGAAAAAATCGTGGGCAATCGTGGAACCAAATCCCCCACAAAAAGCTCATTTTTCTTAAATTTTGCTTTGGCCGTCAGCCCTATTTTCCCATAATAATCATCTCGTGAATTATCTGCATTTACAGGTAATAAGTTACTCCGTGCGTAGTCATCGGCTCGATCTCCAATTAAGTTAAATCCAGCCATTGCCAATACATCAACACCAAAACCAGCTGTTCCATCGGTATAGCCCGATTGACCATTAAAGATAATACCTTGTGCCCAATCGCGCGCAGCAGTATAAGGGTATGGATCTTGTTTATAGTCTCGGTCAAAGTAAAAATTTCTAAGCGTTAGCTCTGCACTGCTGTCTGTCACTAAATCGGCATGCGCCAGAGCACTAAATAATGGGCAAAAGTATACCCACACCCACAAGGATGTTTTTTTCATTTTTTTATCTCAACTATTTAATTTTTAGAGGATTAAGTTGTTGTTTTAAGCGTATAGGCTGCTTCATTTTTATGTCGATAAAATGCATTACCTAACATTAAAATAAGTACAATTGCCAAAATAAATACCACCCCGTAATATGCATAAAGTGTGGCTGGCGCTAAACCTTTATCTAAAAAAACGCCTGCTATAGTTGGTGATAAAATGGCACCAATACGTCCAAAACCAATAGCATAGCCTACGCCACGACTACGAATATCGGCATCGTAAATTGTAGGTGAAATAGAATATAAACCAGCAATACAGCCATTAATCAGCGTTCCAAGTAATAGGCCAACAATCAATGCCACGCTCACTTGGGCCGAGACAGCCACGAATAAGAACACACATGCGGCAGTTAATCCTAGAAATAGACTTAAGGCATAGAAGATTTTGATACGGGATGCCAGCAAACCAATAATTGCTGCACCAAAGATCCCACCAATACTAATTAAAATACCTGTGGTAACCCCTTGTTCAGGCGACATTCCCATTGAAATTAAAATTTTCGGTGTCCAACTCATCACAAAATAAAAGCCAAACATTACGAGAAAGAAAGCACCCCATAGACACAATGTTTGAAAGCCCTGTTGCCCACCAAATAATTTGGCAAAATCTCCGCCACCCTTTGCATCACTTTTTGCATAATCAGGTAAGGCATCTAGATGAGTTAAGCCCATACGCTGTAATACTGAGTTCATTCGCCCTAACGCTTGTTGTGGTCTTTTTGCCAACAAATAATCTAAGGACTCAGGCAATAACCATATACTCACCAACAGCATTGCAATGGTTGTAATTCCGCCTGCAAGGAAAATCGAGCGCCAGCCTAAATTTTCAATCAGTGTCAGTGACAATATCCCACCAAGTGTGGCACCAATCCCATACCCTGTAGACATTAAACTTACCGCAAAACTTCTCCAGCGCGTATTGGCATATTCACTGGCCAAAACATTGCTACTGGCAAGAATACCGCCAACCCCAATCCCTGTGACAAAACGAAGGACTGCCAACATGCTATGACTATTCACAAAAGCGCACGCCAGCATGCTGATTCCAGCAATCACCAAACAAATTAAGATCAGTAAACGGCGACCTATTTTATCGGCAAGTGGTGCCAGAAAAATCGAACCAGCAGCCATACCAAATAGACCAGCACTTAATAACAAACCGATTTGAGCACCAGAAAGCGACCAATCCGCTGAAACTGAAGGTGCGGTAAATGCCATAACCATGACATCAAAACCATCAATAATATTGAGGAAAACACAAATCAAAATCACAAACCATTGATAGCGGCTCATCTTATTTTGACTTATCTCACCAAGCACATCTCTTTCCATTTGTGTATCTCCCAATCTGGATAGGATATACACACGACATTACTGAACTGCGTCGTTGGGTGGTTATGCATATCCGTATCCATAATTACCTAGAGGAATAATTTAATTTTTAAAACTCGTTTTTAAACAAGAATATTTTTTTGGAGCGTCCTGCTCTATCTCATCTTGATTAATTGGATCCAAAAAATCAATAGCATTATTAAAAAATATTTTCAAAATTAGATTAAAACCTATAAAACATATGATTTAACTCAATATATTTAAATTAAAAGAATGAAAAACGGATATACATATTTGAAAATTACACTAAAATGGATCCATTTAGTTCATTTAACATCTTCTAAGTAAGTGACCTTATTGAGGATATTAAAAAAGTCCACCCCCTTATTTTTAAATATTTCAGTTTTCGCAACGTGATAGGTATTCAACAAAAATACGAATTGGATCCAAAAATATAAATAAAAGCACAAACAACCACATAAATCTCGTAGAGATATTTTTTAAATAAAAACAGTAAAATATCGATAAACACAAAACAAATAAGCCTAAATCAAAGAATTTAATGATCAAAAATGATCATTTTATGGATTGACCGTTTACTTGTGTTGATATAAATTGGATCCAATAAGTGATAAGGAGTCATCACAAATGTTTATAAAAAATGCATGGTATGTTGCTTGCTATCCTGAAGATATCCAAGACAAGCCGCTTGGTCGCACCATCTGTGGTGAAAAAATTGTTTTCTATCGCGGCAAAGAAAATAAAGTCGCTGCTGTTGAAGATTTTTGTCCACATCGTGGCGCCCCATTATCATTAGGCTATGTAGAAGATGGCAATTTAGTTTGTGGTTATCATGGTTTAGTCATGGGATGCGAGGGAAAAACCATTTCTATGCCAGCTCAACGTGTAAACGGTTTCCCCTGTAATAAAGCCTATGCAGCCATAGAAAAGTTTGGTTTTATTTGGGTTTGGCCTGGTGATCAAGCTTTGGCTGATGAGTCCAAACTTCCAACACTAGAATGGGCAGATCATCCTGAGTGGAGCTATGGCGGTGGTTTATTCCATATCCATTGTGATTATCGTTTAATGGTCGACAACCTTATGGATTTGACCCATGAAACCTATGTTCATTCGAGCAGTATTGGTCAAAAAGAAATTGATGAGGCACTTCCTGTCACCAAGGTTGATGGTGATCATGTCATTACTGAACGTTATATCGAAAATGTCATCGCTCCCCCATTTTGGCAAATGGCACTTCGTTGTAATAACTTAGCAGATGATGTTGCTGTAGATCGCTGGCAACGCTGTCACTTCGTTGCTCCAAGTAACGTACATATTGAAGTGGGTGTCGCTCATGCTGGACATGGCGGATATCATGCCCCCAAAGATAAAAAAGTGTCATCGATCGTGGTTGATTTTATTAGCCCTGAAACAGAAACCTCGCATTGGTATTTTTGGGGAATGGCTCGTAATTTTCAACACGATAACCCGACCCTCACCGATCTCATCCGCGAAGGTCAAGGCAAAATCTTTACCGAAGATTTAGAAATGCTGGAACAACAGCAACAAAATATTTTACGAAATCCCCATCGCCAGTTACTGATGCTGAATATCGATGCTGGTGGCGTACAGTCACGTAAAGTGATTGACCGATTACTGGCACAAGAAAGTACTCTCACGCCTGAAACAACAAAACATAAGTTTCCAAATATTCGGGTAATTTAAAGGAGAATACACATGGATGTTGTTATTGATAAAATTCATCAACTTACTCCATCAATTCGAGCCTTTGAATTGATTTCAAGCAATGGTTCTGCCCTTCCAAGCTTTGAGGCAGGCGCGCATATTGATGTACATCTCAAAAATGGCTTAACACGCCAATACTCACTTTCAAACTGTTGTAGTGAAAAACATCGTTATGTGATTGGTGTTTTGCATGATGAGCATTCAAGAGGGGGTTCTCGTTGCATGCATACCGAGTACCGTGAAGGTGATCAATTACGTATTGGCTCACCACGTAACTTATTTGAAATTCATCCTCGTACCCAAAAGGCAATCTTATTTGCAGGTGGTATCGGCATTACCCCGATTCTTTCAATGGCATATCGGCTTAAAACTCAGCGGATACCATTTGAATTGCATTATTTTGTACGTAGTCATGAAATGATTGCTTTCTATGGAAATTTAACCGAACACTTTGCAGGTCAGATTCATTTTCATATTCAAGATCAACCAGAAACTCAATGTGATATGTCGTCCGTCTTAGAACAGAATTCATCCGATAGACATTTATATGTTTGTGGGCCAGCAGGTTTTATGGCATTTGTGATGGAGTCAGCTCAACATATGGGCTGGCAAGCAGAGCAGCTACATCAAGAACACTTTGTCGCACAAAAGTCAGAGGTATCTAACAATGCTGCTTTTACCATCGAAATCAAAGGCAGTGACCGTCGAATCGAAGTACAGCCTCATCAAACAGCAACCCAAGCCTTAATTGAGAACGGTTTTGATGTCCCTGTTTCTTGTGAACAAGGTATTTGCGGAACCTGTATCACACGTGTGCTTGCAGGAATTCCAGATCACCGTGATGTATTTATGACTGATGAAGAACATGCATTAAATAACCAGTTTACCCCCTGCTGTTCCCGAGCAAAATCTACAAGTTTGCTGATTGAATTCTAATGAAAAACAGCCCTTTGATTCGATTAAAAGAGCTGCTTAGGGTCTGTTGATATTTCTTTTCGGTTTTATTGAGACAACAAGTTTCTTAAGGTCTCGCCCAAAACCACAACACTACTATGTTCCCGCATCAATGTTTCAGCACGTCCAGCTTGTCTATGCATTAAAGCATCGTAAATTGAACAGTGTTGTAGATGGGCATAATGTAAGCGACGATATTCTGAAAGTGCTTGAGTTTGGTCATAGGTAATGGCTTGGGCCGAGGCCATGGGCAATTGATTGTTTTTGGCTAAGGCTTGGATCAATGCAACATTTTGCGCGCCTTGAATAATAGTGTCGTGAAAAATCACATTAAAGTGATGGTAACGTTCCAGTTCATGATCACCAAACTCAGTTTTTCCATCAAAAAGTTTTTCAGTTTCGACAATGCAATTTTGTAGTGTTTTTTTCTGTTCTTCCGTCAAACCTTGTTCTGCAATGGTTTTAGCTGCCAGTCCTTCAAGGATGCCACGTACTTCAAGTGCGTCATTGATCAGTTTTTCTGAAATTTCTCGAACCGTATAACCTCGAGTCGGATTTTTAATCAGCAAGCCTTCTTGCTCAAGCAAACGAAATGCCATACGCACAGGCTGTCTGGACACCCCAAGCAACTCAGCCGTTGGGATCTCTGCCACTCTGGCACCGCCCTCTAGCTCCCCAGCAATAATCATTTTTCTAAGTTTAATTAAAACTTGTTGACCTGAAGACATTCACTGTCACACGCTATCAAAAATACCCTTTGATGCTAACAAGTTCATCTATAAAATGAAAACAAATTTTCGATTTGAATCTATTTGGTTTGAAGCTAATGTTTTGGTTTAAGAAGTTACATTACAGACATAAAACTTACTTAATATTAAATTCAACCTTAACTATAACTATTGATACCCTCTCAATTGATGCAGTTTTTTGATAAAAAAGCAACGCGTGTGCTTTTTTATCAAATCTTTAATATATCAATCACATAGAATAATAATTCTATTAGTCAACAGCGATGATTGTAGGCTCGCTAGAATTATAATCAATATAGTGCCATCCATTTAAAACGGTTGAACAACTATAGTCATCACCACTTAAATCATAAAATGTAAATCCCCAACCTTTTGTATTACGAAATTGTATGCGGCATTGATATATCTTACTGATACCGCCTATTACATTCCCTTCAGCAATACCTAATGCTTTTGCGCAATCAGATGTATAACCTGGTTTTACATTGACTTCCCATTTCAACTCACAACGGCTTCCTTCAACTTTATCAATTTGCTTTTTATTCAACGTATCTGTCACTAGTTCTAAGCTATATCCTGCAGATTTTGGATAGCCAACCTCATAGTTTTTACCCTCATTATTTTTAAGGGAAACCACAATGTACTCTTCATTTTGATCAATACTTAAAATATTTAAATTAGTCATTTTAATTACTCTTTGAGTTATGGAGTAAATAAATTATTATTTTCCAATTGGTAAAAAAATACCCAATTCTTGGTATTTTCTCATTCTTAAGTATTTATTTTTATAAAATAATTTGTAACATCCAGAATCTTTTGTTTTTTAAGTATCAAAAATTCCAGTATTTTTTTCACATTATTTATGAATAATCACACTACTTTTTTCTAATCTTAGTATCCTTTTCTTAACTGTATCTTTTCATTGTTTATCAAAAAATTACTTAAAATACGTTTAAAAAAAACTTAAAATAAAGCCATATCATTTTAAATTCAGCTTAATTATAAACATGAAGATCAAGCTTTTTATTTTTCGTTTAATTTGGTTAGCAACAAAAAAGTCACCTATATTTAATTAAGATTTAAAACCTTGATCAAAATAGGTAACTTTCTATTTTTCAAAATTAATGACTAAGCAAGTCAGAACGACTCCCCTGAACCTCATTAAATGTTTTAATTTCATAAGGTAAACCCACATAGTTTTCAGCCAATGTGGTTAAACCCGCATGTGAATCTAAAATATAACTCAATTCAGCCTGCTTAATTTTATGATCAAACTCACTTTCCGTTTCAAAACGATGTAGTAAATGCGTCATCCACCATGAAAAACGTTCTGCTTTCCACACACGTTTTAAGCATTTTTCAGAATATTCCTCAATACCTTGTTCTGAACCATTGAGAAAAAATTCAATTAAGGCATTTGACAAATAAGCGATATCAGATGCAGCTAAATTTAAACCTTTTGCTCCTGTCGGCGGAACGATATGTGCGGCATCTCCTGCTAAAAATAGTTTCCCAAATCGCATTGGTTCTGTCACAAAACTGCGTAAAGGTGCAATACTTTTTTCAATTGAAGTACCTGTAACCAAATTTTTACAACTTTCTTCATCAAGGCGATTTTTTAACTCATCCCAAAATCGTTGGTCAGACCACTCATCAATATGATCCGTCACAGGAACTTGCAAATAATATCGGCTACGGGTTTTTGAACGCATACTACATAAAGCAAAGCCACGTTCTGACTGCACATAGATCAATTCATCTGAAACAGGTGGAACATCTGCAAGTACACCTAACCAACCGAATGGATAAATCTTCTCAAAAGTTTTGATTTTATCTTGTGGCACGCTTGCACGACAGACTCCATGATAACCATCACAGCCTGCAATAAAATCACATCTAAGCTGGTACGATTGACCATTTTGCTGAAAGCTAACATACGGGTTTTGCTCAAAATCATGAATTTGCACATTCTCTGCTTCATAATAAGTGCATAAACCTGCCGCTTCACGTGCATGCATTAAATCTTTTGTGACTTCCGTTTGTCCGTAAACCGTAACTTGCTTACCCTGAGTTAACTCAGATAAATCCACACGATGCTTTAAGCCATTGGTTAAAATTTCAATACCATCATGCGCTAAGCCAAACTTGTTTAGATTTTCATCCACACCCGCTTGCTTCAATAAATCAACCGATACTTGTTCAAGTATTCCTGCTCGAATACGTGCAGCTACATATTCAGCACTGCGTTGCTCAATGATCACGTGGGAGATACCCGCTTTAAACAACAGTTGCCCAAGCAATAGCCCTGCTGGGCCTGAACCAATAATCGCCACTTGTGTGGTTAAATTTTCCATATTATTTTCTCCATATCCTGACCATTAAATTAATTTTTTTGATCTCTTTTTGATATGGTGAAAACTGGATAATCGCCGTATAGTGGCAACAATGACCGTATATCGGCCATAAAATTATAATCGGGAATGGATGAACGATGAGATACGATTTAATTGAGAATGAAGTTTCAGGTGAAACCATTAAGCAAGATGATTACATTGCTGGACTCGCCAAAGGACTAAGCTTGCTTGAAGCCTTTGGGGTTGATCGTCAAAAACTCAATTCGACTCAAATCGCAGAACGCACAGGATTGAGCCGTACAGCGGCACGAAGATATTTACGCACTTTAAAATATTTAGGTTATTTAGAAACTGATGATCACTACTTTTGGTTAACTCATAAAGTATTACGCTTATCGAGCTCCTATTTAAGCTCTGCACATCTGCCTAAAGTTGTGCAACCTATTCTCAATCTATTAAGCGCACAAACCAGTCTGACTTTTTCGCTGGTGGTTTTAGATGAACATGAAGTTGTTCCGATTGCCCGAAGCTACTTACCTCAACATGATAATTTACGCCTCAGCCCGTATGGGATGCATTTGGGTAATCGCTTGCCTGCACATGCAACCTCAACAGGCAAAGTTTTATTGGCAGCATTAAATCTAGAAGAACAAAAACACTGGGTAAATAAATATAGTTTGAAACGCCTCACCGCTTATACCATTCAAGATGAAGTCCAGTTTTATCAAGTATTGGCAGAAATTCAAAAACAAGATTATTGTCTATCAAAAGAACAACATGAATTAGGGGTTATTGCGATTGCAGTCCCAGTATTAAATGCACAAGGCAAAGCCGTCGCTGCATTAAACTGTATTGCACAAACACATCGTGTCACTGAAGAACAGCTGATTCAGCAGGTTTTACCTTTACTGAGAAATACAGCCTATGAGTTAAGAAGTATGGTTTAAAAATACGATGAAGAAATTTTAATTGGGGCCAATCTTGCAGCCGACGTATCAATAGAACTCAAATATTTTTTTAGTCTGTAAATATACTTGTACAAAGCAACATAAATTTATAAAACATAAAAATCCGTATTGATTTTTACCACTAGCTTAAAAGATAATAATTATTATTCGCATATTTATAAAAATCAATTTTATGATCCAATCTATTCTTATTCAGCCAATAGCAAATCGTGTACTCGTCTCTGTGACTTTGGTCAGTTATAGAAATACAAACAGATGCTGGAAAACACCTGTTTCTGCTAAAAGCTCTGTCAGCCAGCAACGAAACCTGAACTAAATTTACTTTCTTATTTTCTGTAAATCATCAGTACCCATACTTGAGCAATCAATAAGTTTACTCGACTGGTGTAATCACATCACTGTTATCGAATAGGTCATTTTTCATGTTGAAGAAAACTTCTCTCTACTTGGCGCTAGGCGTGTTGATCATGCAAATCTCGATGCATACTTTTGCCGATAACAGCATTCGTATTGGAGAAACACAAAACATATCTTCCACTATTTTAAATGAAAAAAGACCGATCCAGATCTATCTCCCTGCAACATATGGCAAATATCCCAAGCAAAAATATCCTGTGATTTATCTATTAGATAGCGAAAGTAACTTCCATTATTTGACAGGAATTGTGGAAAAATTATCGAAGTCACCTTACCCTTCGATTCCTGAAATGGTCGTTGTTGGGATCGTCAATACAGATCGTGCTCGAGACTTAACCCCAACCAAGCAAAAGCCTGAAATTAAACAAGGACGCGTAATTGAAGGTAAAACTGGCGGAAATGTCGCATTTTTTAAATTTTTAGAATCAGAGCTCATGCCTGATATTGAGAAAAAATATCGTACTAATGGGTTAAATATATTGATTGGTCATTCTTTTGGAGGTATTACCGCACTCAATCATATGCTCAATGGTCAACAAAATATCCAAGCCTATATTGTCCATGACCCTAGTATTTGGTGGGATGATGAGATCATGCTGAAACGTTTTAAGGAAGCGAACAATCAAGATTTTCAGCATAAAACTTTATTTTTAACCCAAGTTGGTGCCAGTGAAAATACAGACAGTTTAGACAACCATTACAAGGGTATCAAAAAGTTCAATCAATATTTAAGTCAACAGCCTTTTACTCAACTGAACTATAAATATGTCCAGTATGAGGGTGAAGATCACGGTACTGTGCCAATGAAAGGTAATCTTGATGGTTTGCGTTATATTTTTGAAGGTATGCGAGTCAATATTAAAGCGATCCCAGAAAATCCCAATCTTATAAAAGAACATTATGCTCAATTAAGTCAAAACTTAGGTTTTGAGATACAACCCAGTGAGGAGATAGCCAACTCGTCATCCAATTCACTAATGGTGAAAGTCTATACTTACTTACTGGAAAATCATCAGGATTAATAAGTGAGTATTACGGAACAGATGGAGATTTTTCTACTTCGACTATGGCTAGCTTGAAGACATTAGCTAATGATCGAGTCAATATTAAATTGAATGATATCTATTTTAGCTCTGAAGCAGGGACGAAAATAGTTTCAGGTGAAATCACTTTAGTTGCTAGTTATGCCAAAATTGATATTCCTAACGTTGGCAAAATTGACACTAAACGAGTTTATGCGTATGAATTATCGAATAAAGAACTGACTTATTTTATTACATCAACATCAGGGTCTGGCCAGATCGTTGTTCAGGGACAAAATCCTATAAAAATAGATATCAATGGCTATTCATGTACTTTAAATGAATGTAACAATGTGGAGATCTCAAAAGATGGTACATATATCAAGTTAAATGGCACATTGCTTAACGGTATCAAAGTTACAGGTACAATTAGGACAAACATTCACTAATATTGAAGATTTACATAATCTCAATGTTAGAAGTGTCTTTCTTTAGAAGATGTCAGAGATAAGAGTATTTTTCAACTCTTATCTCCTCTCTATTTTAAATACATTAAATTTTAAGGGGATTATCGATGTACTTAAAGAAAATGGATTTGAAAAGCTATTAAAAAACCTCTTGCCATTAATTGATATCGGTTAAAGAAATTCTTTTAAACAAAATTCAAAAAACTATAAACGGACTAGAGAGAATTTTCAGTAATAGAAGGTTAAATAAATATTAAGGTTTAAATTACATTTCCACAAATGTCTTTCGTACCTGTTGGATAAGTAAATTGGAATTGATTTTTATCAGTAATAAGTTCTACTGAATGGACCTTTCCAATATTAGGTGAAGTCGAATCTGTTCCATAGTAAGCCATTCCATTTGTAAAAGCTAAGCTATTAATCTTACTTGGATTTGTTGAAACATAACCCTTATTAACGCCATTATAAATGACACCAACCTGCTTTGTATCTTGGTTTACATATATACCAATTTTTTGATATCCATCAGTTGTACTTGTCAAAGGCAGCTCAATCATACCTGTTGCGCCATCAACAGTACTCCCCACGCCAATTGTGACTTTATTTGGAGTGGTACTACCGAGTAAATGATTTGCATATAGAGCAACTATTTGACCTTTTCCATTATCGTAATAAGCATCAGCATAATTAGGATACATAAATATCTGTTCATTATTAGGAAGCAATGTTGTTGGCACTTTAATCTTGTATTCATAAGCGAAGATTCCACTCTGTGGAACAGCACTACCATTACTTTGACCTGAAATTGCATTACCATTTGCTGCAATATACATCTGTTGAGAGTTCTCTGGAGTGACAGCTGTTGTAAATGATGTCTTTTGTCCAACTATACTGGGGAATTTCTGAAATCCTGAGAAAACTGCAGATATTTGAGCTTGTGTCGCATCAAAATTATAAGTACAAGCACTCCACCCACTCATACTCATCAATCCAGTTGCTAGTGCTATTGTTAATTTTTTCATTATCCATTCCTTGTTATTTTGAAAATAAAATATAGAACAGAAAATGAGTTATATGAAATAAATCCGATAAAAATTTACCAACTATTCAATAAAAAACCTATCATTAAATGAACAAAATAAAGGATCAAAAAATGAAAAAATTCCTACTTCTCACCCTCTTAATTAGTGGTGGAACTTGAGCTGAGTTACCAAAATCCAAATCATCATGTCAAATCCAAGTTCAACAATTAAAATTTGCTCGTTTAGTTGCTCTTAGTAGTCTTTGTGATAAAGATGAAAATTCAACTTACGGAAAAAGCTTAAGTGCTTTGTTTTTAAAAAATCAAAAGAAATGTAAGGTTTCCCGTGAACAGATTGACCCTACAGATGAACAGGTAATGAATGCTTATGATGAACTCATTGGTTTACCTATAGAACAGCAAAGAATACGATGCAGAACGGCAGATAAACAGATCAAAGCCCATTTCTGAAAACTTAAGACTTATTCGATAAAACTGTTCCAGCGTGCTGAACTCTGGAATGGCTTCGAGTAAAATATTGGTATTGAAAATAAGGTTTTAAGTCACCTGTATTATGGTAATTTTCCAAAAATCAGAATTATTGGCATTCTTGTATACTCTTATCCCGACTATTGAAATTCATAATTGAATTTTTTTTACTTAGACAGAAGTAATTTATAAATTCATATTGTCTAAAGGATTTTCCTTTTTTTAGCTCAATACGGATCTGAGTTTCTAAATAATTCGACATAAGGATATCTTTTGAAAAGCAAAAAATATATTTACTATCTTTATTAGATAAATTTTCCAAACTTTGCGCATATATTTTCTTTGATAATTCATCATTAAAACTTCCACTCTCATTTTTAAATGATGTATCAAACATTGAAAAATCATTAGAATCATAAATTTCTTGGGGTTTTAATGAACAAATGCTCTTATCTTCTAATATTTCATATTGGAAATCAGCTACCCGTTTCTCTTTACAGCCAATTAACATTATTGATATTAAAAAAACACTTAATAAATTAATATTTTTCATGAGATTATAATTCAGTAAATTAAAAAAATTAAAGGAACTAGCGGAGTCGGAGTAGAATTAGAA